ATACCATGCCTCTACTGGGGGGTTATCTGGACCGCAGGCGGGGACGGTACGGGAATTGCTTACGGAGTTCGCGGATGTGTTTGCAGTTGATCAGTTCGATATTGGGGAAGTCCCCAATATAGAACACCGCATTGACACTTCCGACGCACCTCCGGTTAAGCAGCGCCTACGCCGGACTCCCCTGCACTTTGCGGGTGAAGAACGCAAAGAACTGGATAAGATGCTCCAGGGGGGTATAATTCAACCCTCTAACTCAGAGTGGTCCTCAGCACCTGTGTTAGTCCGTAAACGAGATGGTAATGTTAGATTCTGTATCGATTATCGAGCACTGAATAACGTCACAATAAAGGACGTGTATCCATTGCCGATACTAGAAGATTGTTTAGATACCCTGTCCGGTAACCAATGGTTTTCCAAGTTAGATGCTATTTCAGGTTACTGGCAGGTTAATTTAAATGCTAGTGATCGAAAGAAAACCGCTTTTGTCACTAAATATGGCCTTTTTGAATTTGTTAAAATGCCATTTGGCCTTTGTAACAGTCCGGCAACGTTCTCCAGGGTTATCAATATGGTTTTGCGTGGCCTCAATTGGCAGACTGCTTTAGCTTTCCTGGATGACGTAGTGATCTTAGGTAAGACTTTTGAGGACCATAGTAAGAACCTGAGAGAAGCCCTGGGGCGTTTCCGACAGTACAATCTTAAACTAAAACCCAAGAAATGCGTCTTCTTCCAGAAGAAAGTCGAATTTCTGGGTCGTATGGTCTCTCGTGATACCGTCGAGATGTCCGATTCGGACATACAGGCGATACATGAGTGGCCAGTGCCTGCTAATTACAAGGAATTGCAACGCTTTTTAGGTTTAGCTAACTACCATAGGGCGTTCATTCCTCACTTTGCTGATCTGACTAGGCCTCTCTATACTGTAGCTAAGAAAGGGGAATTTCGTTGGGGCCAGCCCCAAAGCCAGGCATTCGAGCAGGTTAAAGGCAAGCTGGTCCAACCCCCTGTTCTGTCACTTCCTAACCCACAGGATTTATTTATTCTAGATACAGACGCCTCAGATCAGGCTATTGGGGGGGGAATTATTACAAGTCCAGGGTGGGCAGGAACGGGCGATTGCTTACGCTAGTCTAGCATTGACAGCTGAGCAGCGACGTTACTGCACCACTCGGAAGGAATTGTTAGCTATTGTTAAATTTACCCGGCAATTTAGGCATTATTTGTTGGGTAAACCGTTTATAGTTCGCACCGACCATAGTAGCTTAACTTGGCTTTTGCGGTTCAAGGAACCCCAGGGTCAGTTGGCTCGATGGATCGAGGAACTTAGTCAGTATACCATGATAGTTGAACATCGTCCAGGGAGAAAGCATGTTAACGCTGATGCTTTGTCGCGGGCACCCAGGGAGGTGAACCACTATAAGCACGGTGTTGCGCTTACCGACCTACCATGTAGGGGGTGTAAATATTGTCAACGGGCACATCAGCGTTGGGGGCCTTTCACAGAGGATGTTGATGACGTCATCCCCTTGACTGCGAACCCCATTCCCTCCCCCTTACCGGCACCATCCTTACCGCCATTGCCAACGCTGCCCTCTCACTATGTAAAACAGGTACCTAGGGCCCAACCCGAGCAATCCCACTGGGGTTTCGCCCCCCAGGAGATTAGTCGGGCACAGGAGGAAGACGAGGAGCTGGGGCCAGTATTCCTCTGGTTTCAGGGGGGTGCTTTGCCTACAGCTACCGATCTTTTCGCCACTAGTCCAGCTACCAAACACTATTGGCTGAGTAGGGACAGAATGCGTCTTCGGGATGGGTTAT